TCACTCCATGTTTCTGTGGGTTATTTTGAAAATCAGAGGGCAGCAATAACACGGTCAATCTCTCTCCTCCACCAAATGCTTTCTTTGGAAAAAAAAGATGCAGCTTAATTTGGAAAAAAAGACGCAGCTTCATTTGCCAATGAATTATATTTGAAAGACTAAATGCTCAACAGGCATTTAGATTTAGAACTTGGTAAGGACTCTCAGAGATGGAAGAAAAGAAAATAGAAGGGCGGGAATGGAATATGCTGAAATAGGTCATGGTTTGCTGGTTCTTTGTTGTCCTTGGACAGCAGAGTCACTTGCCACTTGCCCTATCTATTTCCAATCAAAAAGATCATAAAATTATTCTGCCAACTGATTCAAATGTTATTTTTAGCACTGTATATCAGCCACAAACCCTTTGTTTGCAGAAATAGATCTTGGCCCTGGATTCTAAACGAGGAAATTTTCTGGATAGCACTATCTTAATTAAGTCCATCTTCATTTGAGAGACAATTCAAATGCAGAAGGGAGCTAAAAGAAAATTGACACTTCCTAGGAAGATCAAAAATAGTTCACCATGTTTTTTTTGAGCAAAAATGGTTACACACCCCGGAAAGTGTATTCACCTATACTATAATGCTAGGGTTGCAAAAGCCAACCATTTTTTGCAATGCACTGGATACTACCTTTCCTTATTATAACACATAAATATTTTCAGCTTTCATGAGTGATCCAAAAACCAAGTAAGGATTCTTTTTTTGCCTAGATCAGTCTGAAATCCCTTATTGTTGAATGCAGCAGTCAGTTATTATTCTTTTAAATCTTGTTTAGTTTAAGGAAGACTAATTCCTATACTGTAGGAAATTGCCTATATAATTTCACTTTTCCTAGTCAGGAGATTTTTTTGATTTCTTTCTGTTACATGTCATGGATGTTTCTCATTTGAAAGCATGATTTTTTTTTTAAAAAAATAAATGTTAGAGGAAATGCCACCCTGGTTATCTTTTGTATTAACTGTACAAAAATCCTTGCACTCATCAAGCTAAATGTCAGCCTTGGAAGCCAAATTTGTCAGCTGTCCCAGAACTGCACGGTGTGGTTCTGTTCATTATAAACTTTCTTTCTTAAGCAGCCTCCATTTTATTCCCAACTTGGAACTGAACCAGGGAGATTTTTCTTCCAACATAACTAAGCAGAGCAAAACTCAGAGAAAGATTTACTTAATAAAATTTCAATTACCAAATTTTTAAAAAACAGGAAGAAGAGAGGCGGAGCAAAGGGTAATTTCTCTAGTACTGAGATATTCTGATAGACATTTTGCTTCCAAATGTTTGGATTTCAGCAAAGTTGCAAAGAGCAGTCTGTGGTCGTGAGGGCACTGCTCCTGTTAACACTGTGCTGTAGCATTTATCAGGGCAAGCTCTGTGTCTCTTCTCCCCATGGATCTTCAGTAATAGAAAATGCACGCCTTTCTGAGATCAATTCATCGTACAATTGGCTAATGGATTAATATAGTCCAATCTGATCCATTTGGAAGTGAAACCTGTAGGATTCAATGGGACTTCCTTCAAAGTAAGTGTGCTTGACTGAAAATTTGCAGTTCACCTGAGATTTCTAAAGCACTTTTTCAAACCATTTCAATATCCCACTTTTTAGAAATTTGGCTCTCTGTTCTGCACACTTTTATTATTTGATAGTCAGAACATTGCTTGTACCTTTAAGAGGGGTTGGCCTGGTCATTCACATTCTTCTCCCTTTATCATATTCTAGGTTAACTAATCAATTCCTTTCAGAACTTCAGATGTAGTCTTGAATAGCATAGCAGTGTGGGCTTGCAGAAGAAGTGAGTGCCAAGCAGCAGGGATAATGAAGAGACCAAATTATGAACTTCCAGCATAATAGAGTGCTAAAACCATGACCCAACAGTCAGGTAATGAGCCAGTAAATACCGAGCAGAAGCCTCAGCCAATTCTAGCAAAAGAATAGTTCTGAATCCAAAGAGGGAGTTTGCGTGAGCCTCCACTTTAAGATGTAGCATTTCTCTAGGCACAGGAATGGTGCTGGATACATAAGATAATTACACACAATTGCAAAACATAACCCATTTCATCTTACATGGGAAAGGTAAAGTCTGCATATAGAAGTTTCAAGACATAGAAACAACTTGTAATATAGCAAAATGCATGCAAAATCTTCACATGAATTAATTTGCTGGAGAGGTTCTAGCTGTAATCCTGGAGAGAGCAGAAAGTAATTACTATTAAGTTCCTTGCATGAATAGCTTTCTTCCTGCAGAAAATAAAATAAAATCTTACTACCTCCATACTCACTACAGTGGAGCAAAATACAGGAAGTCTTCATTGCTTTCTATCATCAATAGTTAGTCAAGCTATCCAACCAAGCTCCTCCCACAATCACAATCTATTTCGGAGGTATCAAACTCACATTGTCATGGCAGCACCACGTCATGTATCGGGACTTTTTCCCCCTTCGCTAAACCAGGCATGGACGTGGTCAGTGCATGATGCATCTGGCCTGTAGGCTGGGAGTTTGACAGTCCCGATCTATTTCCAACAGAAATATCTGGATTTTGGCAATCTGGCCCATTTGGCAACTGTGGGAAGCCCCCCCCCCCCCACCTTGGAAAATGAAATAGTTTGGGAAATAATAAAAGAGGTAGAATATTATATTTCCCTAAAGGAGAAATGGAGAAACATGTTCTTAGAGACAGAAAACATCCCCCAGTCTTTCTTATTAGCCTGCAACAGATGCCCATTAAAAAAAATCCTGGGCTAGCCTTTTCACAAACAAAGCACCTTCACCTCCAGTGACGAGATTAAAATGTACATTCTTCCCCCCACCCAGATTCTAAGGACAGGGTGTAACCTTTTAGTCCAGGGATGTCAAACTCAAGGCCCAGCCCATGGGGTGTTTAGATCTGCCCTGTGAGGCTGCCCTGGAAACAGTGAAGGACAGTCCCCCATGGTGCATCTGCCAGCAATAATGGAGCTTGGGAGGGTTACTCATGGGTCCTCCTGAGCTCTGTTTTCACTGGCAGAGGGTTGTAGGAGGCTATCACAGATGAAAATGGAGCTCGGGAGCCTGTTTTCCCTGGCAGAACGCTTGGACCGCCACAGGCATCCCTGATATGATTGACCCTGGCCACGCCTACTCCCAGGCTCTGAGGTCAAACACAACCCTGATGCGGCCCTCAATGAAATCGAGTTTGACACCCCTGTTTTAGAACATAATAGGATTAACTCACCACCATTAGAATAGCAAAAGACACCAAGCTCACTGCATTGCACAATCCCTGTAGCATTTCTATAAAAATCCTTGCACTCATCAAGCTAAATTTGTCAGTTGTCCCAGAATTGCACACTGTGGTTCTGTTCATTAATAAACTTTCTTTCTTAAGCAGCCTCCATTTTATTCTTGGCTTGGAACTGAACCAGATGGATTTTTCTTCCAACACAACTAAGGTCAGCAAAACCCAGAGAAAGATTTACTTAATAAAAGGAGAGAGGGATTTCTTTGCTAGAAGGTGCCAATGAAGATCTTTCATCCAACCAGACTAATAATAAATGGAGAACACAAACTACACGCAATCAAAATATAAAAACTCTCACTGGAAAACTTTCCCAGGATACACAATGTCCATGGCTACATTGCACACAATTCTCTTATTTCCAATTTATTAGTAAGCTCCCTCTATACCTTTGTAATATAGAAGATCCTATTCATTGAGATGATAATGAATCAACATTAGTTCCCATTTTCTCTTTCCTACAGACTCCACTGATAAAACACTTTTCAATCACAATAGCATCTCAGCTTTTAGTAGCTGCAGGGAATTATTCTAGTATATTTTTTGTCTGGGTTTGTGTACATAAATCTTGTTCCTGTCAGTTACTCATTCAGAATCATCAGGATCCATTATAAATCAAAATCAGACAAAATGATACTTCTTAATCAAGAGGTTGTGTTTTTTCTTTTAGGTTTTTTTGTTTAACTTGCCTCTTCCAAGATATTGAGATGGTGGTTTGGTACTGAAAAACTAAAAGTGAAGGACATTGTTCAAAAGCCATTGTAATGTAAAGAAGGTAAGATTTGGTTGAAGGGCCACATTCAGGGGCATATCCAACTCTGACCTTCAACAAAAGAGGGATTTCAATATGTTTAAATTTCATATGTTCAGCAAGAGAGGTTGTTTACGAGTTTTCCTTCAGTCTTTGTCTCTCAACGGATTAGAGAAAATAGCTGCCTAAACCAGGGTAAACTGGGTGCCCCACTTAAATTTGGGTAAGAACCTGGCAGTTACAATGGGTAGGAGGGTGATGCAAACACGAAGGGTTTTTTTGTTTGTTTGGGGTTGGGGGTTAATGGAAGAGGTTTTACAGTAGCTCTTTCTACTGTGGGAAGCCGATGTTTGCATTCAAAGTTTCCACATGTTTGATGCCTTAAAGGGGAAGAAGAAGGCAACTTGAATTTTCAGCAATTACGGTCAAAGAGTGCCAAAGAATGTGAGTCTTGACATGCAGATTTTGGGGTCTTGACAAACCCCTTCTGCTTCAAAGACTCGAGTTTCTTTTCCTGTAGCTGTTTTGTCAGTCTATCAATATTTTTAGGGCTTAGGAGTGTTATATGTCTTTACACAGCCATTTCTGCATTCCTTCCCTTAATACCTGCACATCCTTATCTATACGGTGACAAGGTCTCATTATGTCTTCACCCCCATCTCTGATCGCAGCTATGCCCGGCATTGCCATTAAGGAGAAGGAGGAAGAAACATATCACAGGACTGCCATTTTCACCTACCTTTCTCTCCTGAGTGTTGACTTCCCCCGAATCGCCTTCAGGCAATTCATTTGAAATAAGCCAGGCCATTCTTACGATGTAATGCCATCCTGTGTTGTGAAAGCCAGGTGCTCATTTCAAAGAACATTTCATTCATTTCCCACTCAGGGAAGGAAATAAATCCTATCATTTCCCTTAGAAAAAAATGGCATCCCTACCAAGAACGGTCAGCCGGGCTGGTCTGGAACGGATGGCCGCTTGAATGGCTTGGCACTCATATACTGCATCATCTTGGAGATCTGCTCTCAGGATCTTCAGGTGATGCTCCCCCGAGAGGTGATCCCCCACCACCAAATAGCGTGGATAACCTGTGGGGCACATAATGGAACCAGAATTGGAGCTAATAAGTAGCAAGTGTATACTGACACCCCCACTCCCAACCAAGCACTCTGGAATAACACAAAGTCCACTAGACAAGACTGTTCATGTCATGCCCTCTATAGCCCTTTTCAGATGCTGATATTTTTTTTTTAAAGAATGACATAATGAGCCTTAAAAAAAAGTTGGATCACGTCTTCCTATTCTTTTTCTAAATCTTCACTTCAAGATCTTCCAAACCCATCCAGTCTTCTGGAGCATTAAACCCAACCCCATCCTTCTTCTTTTGAAGATATCCACAAAACAGAACAGAACAGAATAACAGGGTTGGAAGGGAGCTTGGAGGTCTTCTAGTCCAACCTCCTGCTTATACCATTTCAGACAAATGGTAGTCCAATCCCTTCTTAAAATCTTCCAGTGTTGGAGCATTTACAACTTCTGGAGACAAATAGTTCCACTGATTATTTGTTCTAACTGTAAGGAAATTTCTCCTTAGTTCTAGGTAGTTTCTCTCTCTGACTAGCTTCCATCCATGCTTCTTATCTTGTCCTGCCTTCAGGTGCTTTGGAGAATACCTCTTCTTTGTGGCAACCACTGAGATATTGGAACACTGTTATCTTGTTACTACTAGTCCTTCTTTTCATTAAACTAGACATACCCAATTCCTGCAACCATTCTTCGTATGTTTTAGCCTCCAGTCCCCTAATCATCTTTGTTGCTCATCTCTGCACTCTTTTCTAGAGTCTCAACATCTTTTTTACATCGTGGTGACCAAAACTGGATGCAGCATTCCAAGTGTGGTCTTATCAAGGCATTATAAAGTGGTGTTAATACTTGATGTGATCTTGATTCTATCCCTCTGTTAATGCAGTCTAGGATTGTGTTGGTTTTTTGGGCAGTTGCAGCACACGGCTGGCTCATGTTTAAGTGATTGTCCAGTAGGACTCCAAGATCCCTCTCACAGTTTCTACTATAGAGCTAGGTCCCGCCTATACTGTACCTGTGCATACGGCTTTTCTTGCCTATGATTCCTCTTAAAAATAAGTTGGGGAACCCTCGAACTGGAGCACAGGGAAGGAAGGAAGGAAGAAAGTAATTTGATGCTACTGATAAACCAAAATAATATTTTGAAGGCAATCTGAAGAAGGAAAATTAGCGCCAAATAAATAAGATCAACTGTTTTTTTAAAACCCACTCAAGAGGTTTGTTTTCAAAGCTACACATTCTTTCAGAATAAGGACAAATAGGTGACAAAGAAGAAAAGCTCTCATCTACTGCAGGAACTGTATCATTTAAAAATCATTTTCCAACTCTCTTCTCCTACTTTCTTGTGTCTACTGAGTGGCCCTTGTTGTTTTGTGTAGTTTTGCTCTGTTTTGAGTAAAAGAGGACTCTTAAGAAGACAACTTCTGTAATGCCCAGAAGAGAATGTTATGCACCACAATCTATAATTGGGATAGCTTAAGCCCAAAAGAACCATTTAGACACTTCACACGTTAAGCATACTGGTGGGAATCCATCTTTAGAAGAAAGTTGAAGGACAGCCTTTCATTTCACAAAGTACCCCAAGGACTTTATTCAAACTGTCTTTGTTGTGTGGAAACTTCATCCTCCTCATCCCAGCATCTTGAATGAAGGTTACCTTCTTTGCTTCTTTGTTTACCAAATACTGGACTTATATGGAGAAGAGGGCATTATTAACTGTTTGACAGCAGAGGTTTAATAGGATCTTGATGGGGCAATTAGCATTTTTAATTTCATCTTTCCAGTTTTCCAAGGGACGGAAAGGTCAGAGACCTCCCTAAATTTCACTTCTTCTCAAGTTATATTGTTAATGAATTGCAAGACAGAAGTATCTTGGCATTAACCTATATGCTTTTGAGGCCTTTCCCCCCTCACAAGCTAGCAACAGCAAGATTTGCTCTCATGAACCGCGAGAAAAACAAATGAAGAGTTTGTTTGTATTTAGTTAATTAGATGACTAGCTGAGCCGGAATTCCACAAGCAGGCAGAACCCCAGCTTGCTAAATCAGACCCAGGAAAGCTAAATTGCTCAAATTATTCAGAATCAGATGTCAACCACATTAGCTCTTGTTACCCATTTTAAGGTTTCCTCAAATTGGAGCAGGCAGAGGACTGACTGTTTCAAATATAATAGCAATATGCACTGTGCAGCTTCCACCAGCAAGAGGGTATGAAAGAAGGTGGTGGATGACCTTAAATCTCGAAATGCAGACAAGGAAGCTTAGTAAGGAGAACAGGAACATTTTTAAAAAAAAGCCAACTCAGCAAAAAAAAACAACACAAAATTTGGAACAGAATTCGGCTTGTGTAATGCCCTGAAGCTGATTAGGTCCCTCTTGAATGCATAGATCACTCCCTTAGGTATGTTAAGAGAAAAGGACTCTCACATCATTGCTCTGAAGCCTGGAGCAGGATTCCCATTTTATAGCAAATTCTCAAGGCTCTGTTTATAAGTATGCCATACACTGGGATGTTTGTAACTGGCACACAGTTGTTTAAAGTTTGGTTCTTATCATAAGCAAAAGCAGCCACCAAGGGTCTGCTTATTTCTATGATAGGATATAAATCTGACAGATAAAGTTATTATTCTTGATTAAACTTCCACAAGTTTAAAAAGGTGTTCTAGTCTCTCGAGGCCTTAGCTGGCTCACAACAAAATTAAGAAATGCTCAAGGTATTCAGAGCAAGGGTGACCAGCCTTAACCTCCTTCCTCTAGCGCCTTCTGAGATCAGGAGTGTTAAGTTTGGGAAAAGAGAGGCTGAACCAGAGCATGAGTGCAACAATACTTTATTATAACAATAAAGGGCTGACCATGCTTGCCAAGCCGGGAACTGGCTCGCAGCGATCAGCAACTGGTTGGACCCCGCAGCCTGCTTTTATAGCTGGCTGCTGGGGAGAACCAACCGATGAGTGAAGGGGAAGAACGCCCCCGCAAAGTGAATGGACCTGAGTGAGAACTCCTAGGGTTCTCAGAACATAACAAGGAGTAGAAGTGGTATTCAGCAGGTTCTGACCAGTTTCGGAGAACTGGCAAATACCACTTCTGACTGCCCCCCACTCTATTCTCTGCCTCCTGAGTCCCATCTGATTGGCTGGGTCTTTTTTTGTTGCCCTGCACAGGAGAATGGAGCTGGAAAGCAGGTTAGTGGGGTGGGGAGGGAATGGGATTTTGCAGTATCCTTCCCCTGCCAGGCCCACCCAGCCATGCCCACAGAACCGGTAGTAAAAAAAAGTGAATCCCACCACTGATCAGGAGATAGGATTTTTGCAGTGGAAAACAAAGAAATTAAGGTAGGGCTTATTTTTATTTTATTTTTTAATCCCATCTTTATAACTTTATAATGTAAAAGCTGTGAATGGATATAATACTCCTTCCTCTTCCAATTTTCTCCAAAACAACAACTTAGTGAGGTGAGAGAAAGGACTGGTCCAAAGGCACTCAGCTGGCACTGATGCCCAAGGCAGGACTAAAACTCAAAGTCACCCAACTGGACTTTATGGCTGAGGTGGGACTAGAACTCCTGGTCTCTAGCATGGTACCTTAACCACTAGACCAAATTGGTTCTCAGTGCACCTAAGCACTTCCCTAAACACAAATGTTTGAAAATCAGGGAAGAACCAGAGTAGCTTGGTCTGAACCACTTCAGTGACAGACAGTTTGGTCTAGTAGATAAGGCACTGGACCAAAGTTGGAGGAAAGGATATTCTAGAACATTGGGCGCTATCTAACAAAATGAAATTCAATGATGAAAAAAAAGTAAGGTTCTATATTTAGGAAAGAAAAACCATATGCACAGGTACAGTACATGTGTTACCTGGCTCAATAGTAGTAACTGTGAGAGGGATCTTGGAGTCCTAGTGGACAATCATTTAAATATGAGCCAGCCGTGTGTTGCAGCTGCCAAAAAAAGCCAACACAGTTCTAGGCTGCATAAACAGAGGGAAAGAATCACGATCACATGAAGTGTTAATATCACTTTATAAGGCCTTGGTAAGGCCACACTTGGAATACTGCATCCAGTTTTGGTTCTCACAATATAAAAAATGATGTTGAGACTCCAAAAAGAGTGCAGAGAAGAGCAACAAAGATGATTAGGGGACTGGAGACTAAAACATAAAAGAACGGTTGCTGGAATTGGGTATGTCTAATTTGATGAAAAGAAGGACCAGGGGAGACATGATAACAAGGTTCCAATATCTCAGGGGCTGCCAGAAAGAAGAGGGAGTCAAGCTATTCTCCAAAGCACATGAGGACAGGACAAGAAGCAATGGGTGGAAAGTAATCAAAGAGAGAAGCAACTTAGAACTAAGGAGAAATTTCCTTACAGTTAGAACAATTAATCAATGGAACAACTTGCCTCCAGCTTTGTAAATTGTAAATGCTCCAACACTGGAAGTTTTTAAGAAAAGATTTGTCTGAAATCGTGTAGGGTTTCCTGCCTGAGCAGGAGGTTGGACTAGAAGACCTCCAAGGTCCCTTCTAACTCTATTATTCTAATTCTGATTCTGCACAAAGCCAGCCAAATCTTTGGCTTGTCACGTTCTCTCAGCCACATGGAAAAGGCAGTGGCAAACCACTTCCAAAAATGTATCTAAGAAAACTGCAGTGAATTATCCATGTAGTTACTGGGCCTTGCGCCCACCCTCCTTGTGGTTGTCAAAAGTATGGCTAAACATATAACCAGGAAAAAGTGTTTGCTTTGTGGTGAGGAGAGATGTGTGTGTGTGTGCATTGCGTACATTGGAAGTTCACTGTATTGCTTTTGATTAGCATATAACCGGAGCCGTCCGGGGTAGGTAAGGATATTTTTTTATTAACAACCCCCCATAATCCCTTGTGGGGTGGAGTCTGGGCAAGTGAATGGAGCTAGCAGAGTGTTTTAATGGCTGGATGCCCTTCCTGTCGCCAGTGCAGAGTTTTGTTCAGCAGATACATTCTCAATGTGCCTAGAGAGAGAGAGAAATATCTGCCTCTACCTAGGATCGAACTCACAGCCTCCTGATTGTGAGGCGAGAGCTCCATCTCTAGGCCACCGCAACACTCGTGATCTGGCTAAATGAAAGTAAAAATATTTAACAAACAAGTAAGAATTGCTTGACAGTGCAGCAGAGATGTGGAGCATATAAATGCAATGAATAAATATATATTTTTTAAAAGAATATTCTTACTGGAGAGATCCCTTCCTACTCCAAGGGCAAGTCCATCTTTAATCCATAGCACAATTCCATTATATTCGGGAATAGCACACAGGAGGGTCACGGGTTGTCCAGCAATCACCACCTGGTCCTGAGGTTGCTGCGTAAAAGAAGATGCTGAACCTGGAGAAAGAGATAAGAAGCAGAATGAACGTGGCTTGAAACACTAATGGGATGAAGCTTCTCACATCTGAAAAGCAGAATAAGATCTTCGAGCATCATTAAATTACTTCATTTCCAGAGTTTCCATAATACACATCGAATTAGTGCTGTTGGCAAGTCAAACTCTTCTTGTTTTGTTTTTTTTTTAAATTTGTTTTCACATGCCTCTAAATTTTGTGATCATAGTGTCATCTCAAAAACACATCCAAGTACAAATTTTGGGTTGTGAAGAATGTTTTTTTTAGCATTAATACATGCTGGGATGTCGCTTTCAAGATAAACAGTGCCTGTGTGAAACATTTTCATGAGTTTCTCAAAGAAAGAAAAAGCAGGTTATGTGGATTGGATAAAAATGGATGCTGAAAGACATGTCTCCAGTCCCATTCAAAGAAAACTGTTCCGATCCACTATAATCCAGGAAAGCCTCTCTTAAATTGGTGCCTTCCATGTATATCGGACACAATTTACAGAATCAAATCAAATCAAACCCATCTTTCTTACAGTCATTAAAACAGCATAGATTTTTTTTTTTAAAAAAAGTCCACTCCGTGTGGGAATGTGCCATTTTGGGGAAGGGAGATCCAGGAAGTGCCAAAAATAGAAATATGAACCCTGTGAAATATTAACTATTCCTGTGAATAAAATGAGTGAAATGGAAATGTGGCTTGTAGGTCATGGTGGAATGCAAGAAGCTTTTGTGGCTCTTTGCAAACTCTACCATCACAGATCTGAGTCATATCACAAAGCCGGAAGAGATGGAATATCGCCTGGTTGCCTAGGCAACCAGGTGATTTCCCCTGCTGTTCCCTCACAGGCTGCAGCAAGGCTTGAAGTGATGAGCGGTATAAGCATGCCCTTGTTGTCTAGGCAACACAAGGATGAGCTCCCTTCCACTGGCCTAAGCATAACGAGCGACTTTTGTCTTTTTTGAAAATCCCCCTCTCTCTCAGGCAATGAAAAAGATGGAGACATTTTTAGTCAAGAATGAATCCAGAGAAATGTGTATGTAATTTAGCTTCAGGAGCTTAGCCTACAATTTTCCAACATAATTGGCTTCCCTATTTAACTTTTCTTGCTTTAAGGAAGGTTTTCCCCTCCCTCTAACATTCAACTAGCATTACCTTCCCATGATTTAAGGCTACCATTTCAGGTCCAACACTCTGGGGCATTAAGGAACCTTTTTTGGCAGGGATATCACAATGCATACAGTCGCTTTCCTCAGTCTTGCTCATTTTGTAATATATCTGTGAATTCTAATTTCAAACACTTCCTGAGTTACCTAGAACTGGATATTTCATGAGGACCTTGGTGCTCTCGGAGTGGGATTGTTTTCTTGCAGATGTTTCATTACCCAACAAGGTAACATCAACATCACTGCTACATATTTGGGTGGTGAAGAAAACAACCAAACTCAAAGAGCACCAAGGACCCCACAGTTCACCCCTGAGCTACAAATAATATCTTCTTTTAGATATTTCATGAGGTGGCATCTCAAACAATATAAGAAGGCTCCTGTTAGAGTCAGAGCTACCTAGCAATAGCACCAGCACTTAGATTTATATACTGCTTCACAGCGCTTTGCAGCCCTCTTGAAGCGGTTTACAGAGTCAGCCTCTTTCCCCCAACAATCTGGGTCCTCATTTTACCCACCTCAGAAGGATGGAAGGCTGAGTCAACCTTGAGCCTGGTGAGATTTGAATTGCCAAATTTCAGGTAGCTGGCAGTCAGCAGAAGTAGCCTGCAGTACTACGCTCTAACCACTGCACCACCGTAGCCTTTCATTCTGCTTCCCGCATAGTAATCTCCCACTGCCATGATGCTTCCAAAAAGCAAGGAGGGTAAGAAAGGGAGAAGGTTCTTCATTTTAGTCCCGGCATCTTATATTTAGTGCTCATGAAACCTCTGAATTAGAATATTTCTATTATTAACTATTGATCAACAAAGGAAGAACTACCAGGACTCTCCCACCAAAACAGCTCATTGGGTGACTCAGATACTTAGTGTTAAAGGATCAGAGGATCATTTTCTTTACGCTACACAGTAGATCCTTTTGTGAGCCTCAATCATTTCTCCTAATTAGCCATTTCCCCCTCTAAAATAAACTGCCTCCCCAGCAGTGAGGCAGAAGAGAAGGAATTGCAAGATCTGAAGTGCCACAATAACTGCTCACTGTGAATGATGAGCGAAGAATAAACGTTGCCTTTACTTTCGTTAAAAAGAACTGAAAAAAATTATCCTTTGTATACCAGGCTGTTCACATTTCTAATTATAAGCTAAGACTTGCATTCCAGATGGATAAAAATCACTTATTAAACTCGGAATGATTTTCTGTTAGATGAAGTCCAAAGTGACCCTGGCAGTATACAGCTTATTGCCAGGCACAGAAAGCATAGGATTGTGGCCATTCTGGTCCTAACTTGTCAAGAATGATACACTGTGGTTTTGTAAGGTCTCTTTCTCCGATTGTGTGCATGCACACCTTCATCACAAGCAGGGGAACTTCAACTTTTACCATTAAACATCTGCCCAAACATTCCAGCTTTTCCTCACAGACAAAACATATCCAGGATTGGCCATGTTTTGATTTTTACACCTAAAAGAAACCTGGGGACATTGGACAATTTCAAAAATTCAATGCAAAAAGTGAGAAGAATTGTCCCCAACTATAAAAATCCATATTATGAAACCACGACAGTTGATTAGGTTAAAGGAGTCCAAAAAGTTCAACTTTCCCAATGGAAATGGAAGTATTAGTATTTTCAAAACTGGTTGTTTTCTATCCTTTGTGTAAAATGGTCGCTGTAGCCTTCTCCCAAACTCAAGCAATGTCTAATTATCATGAATAAATGTGCATAACTCAAACTCTATGATTTACCTCTGCTTTTCTGAGAATGGTGGCCCCTCAACACAGTTTTAGAACTGACATAAAAGCAGATTATGATTCTATTAAGGCATTAAAGGTTTATCTTTAAATCCCCTTAACTGCATTTTGAATTAAGGGAAAGTGTTGGGGGAAGGTACAATTTTCAGCTTAAAAGTGAAGCCTTCACAGGATATAAGTCCTATTCCTAAATAAGTTGCCATTGAACAATAAAAGCACAGCATGAGTCTAGTCCTCTTTGAGGAAGAGTCGTGCAGCAGAAGGCAAGGGGGAGAGGCTACATTTATAAGTCCCAAACGTAAAAGCAAACAAAATGGATCCTTTGAGCAAGCTCTGTTGGCATCGGTTATGATTTCAGTAGACTAATGAGGCCTTGCCCTGTGGGATGGCATCACTGGGGGGCATGTGCAAGCTCAAATGCATTGTTGCTGCTGGGATAATATGCATGAGGGATTTGCTAGATGGCTCATTAAACAACTTGATAGTCTTCCTTTGTAACCCTAGATGAATTTGAAAATTGCTCAATTATCATGAAATGAACCTCCCCTTGCCATCTAATATTGTCTCTTAAGTGTGGGCAACGGTCCTTATTTCTACTTAGTGGAGTCTATTGTGGGATCAAGCTGCCAAGAGAACTAATTCATCCCTGCAGCTTAAGCAATATGTTTTCCTTTCCTGCCCACTTCAAGATGCCACTTATCAGCGCTGGAAGGCAGGAAACCACGCACAAAAATGACCACCCAAGTACCACCCAACAATGGCCAAGCCTGTGCAAAGCTTGCCAGCTGATGTGAAGGACGTCAAATGTTTACAATCTGGTAAAAAGATGGGTTTTGTGATTTTAGGTTTTGGGGTACTGGATGAATTTAAGCATTGGAGAAGAGGGTTTTTTTTTCAGGTTCTCTGGGAGAAATTTTGGCTTGGGGGGGGAAAGTTTGGGTTTGGACATTCTTGGTGACCCTAACTATGTATTTTGTTCTCAATGAGCTTAAGGTTAGGGCAACTAGTACCTTTATGTTTCTCCTATGGACTGTTGCTTCTAATTAATGAACCCTATTTTAGTTACATCTCAGCCATTTTCTGCAGTAGGTGAGCAACGCGAAATGAAATTGTGTATATTGGAATCTGTGGGACAATATTGTGGGAGGCTGTCCAAAAACAGAAGAAAATTATTCCTTGTCGTTGTAAAATGGTCCCCACACAGAGTCTACATCAGGGGTGTCAAACTCGATTTCATTGAGGGCCGCATCAGGGTTGTGTTTGACCTCAGCGGGCTGGGGAGGGTGTGGCCAGCTCATCACTCACGTTAGGGGGCCCTGTGGTGGCCCAAGTGCTCTGCCAGCAAAAACTGGCTTCCAAGCTCCATTTTCAGCTGTGATGGCCTCCTGCAACCTCTGCCGATGAAAACAGAACTCAGGAGGGCTGCCCTCAACCCTCATGAGCTCAGTTTTTGGCTGCAATGGCCTCCTGCAACCCTCTGGCAAAGGCACCAAGGGCTGATCCTTCACTGTTTCCAGGGCAGCACCACGGGCTAGATCTAAACACCCCATGGACCAGAGTTGGGCCCCAGGCCTAGAGTTGGACACCCATGGTCTAGATTGTGGCTAACCATAGTGAAAAACCAACCATCTGTAGTACTGTATATTATGGGGGGGGGGGGGAGAAAGTCTTATTGATTTCATTGACTTTGTAGAACATGTTATGAAGATCTTGGATCCATCCCTGTCTAAATAAAAAAAAAAATCTGCCTAAGGGACAGTTGAAACACATGCACAGAATCCTGTCTCTGTAAGTGTAAGTCTGGTCTTCACCCAACTATGCCTCTAACAGGATCTCTCATCTTGGCTCTTCAAAGTGAAAAAAAATTGACTACCTATAGTATGTTCTATGGAGTTTGATGAAATGTAAGTAAACTTCCCAGGTGAGTGAGTGAGAGTTGGGTTGGACTGGTCTTAATGGTAAATATGGAATTTCTCTCTTTCATCCCTTCACCAGTTCTTGAGTCCTGTTTCAGTTACTGGATAAAAAGCTTGTGATGCTCTTGGATCCGTCACAAGAGCCAAGACTGATACAGTGGTTA